GTGGGATGAGCAGGTCTTGTCCATCAGCTGTCACTGATCCAGTGGTGCAGAAGCAGGTGGTGGTGCTCACCCATTGGGTGAGGTGGGAAGTGTGGTAGGTATAGCTGACTTCGTTGTTGTTGCTAGGTGCTATCAAGTTGGCTCTGACTCAGATTGACCCTATATTCAACAAAACGAAACACTGCCTGTTCCCGTGCCAGCCTCATAATTCTTGTTATACCTGAGCTCACTGTTGCAGCCACTGTGTCAATCCAACTTGTTGAGGACCTTCCCCTTTTTCACTGACTTTACCAAGCATGATATCATCCTCCAGAGAATGTTACTTTCTGACTACCAAAGTAGTCAGACGAAGTTTGGCCATTCTCACTTCCAAGGAGCATTCTGGCTGCACATCTTACAGTACAGATTTGTTAGTTCTTTGGGCAGTCCACGGAACTTTAGAATTCTTTGCCAATACCACAACTCAAAAGCATCAACTCTTCTTCAGTCTTGCTTATTCACTGTCCAGCTTTCACATAGATATGAGGCAATAGTGGAGAATTAACATCTGCCTCTTGTTAGATGGGGCCAGAGGGGGAAAAAAAGAAGAAAAAATAAAGAAGAGGGAGTGTGAGATGGAAGATGGGTAAAACAAAAGAAGAAGAGGAGGAGGAGGGAGAAATCAACAAAAGGAAGTAAAAGTGGGTAAAAGAGAAGAAAAAAGGAGAGACAAAGACAAAAAAGGAGGGTCTTGTGGAGGTATGGTCAGATGATAGAAGTGACAGCAGGGGGCTGTCACTTGGACATAATCCATGGGAACACAACCCCATAAGGGGGTCCCTGGTACATGCCCTCTGACAGAGGTGATAGTGGTGACATGTTCTTGCATTCAGTGTTAGCAAGCCCTATTCATTATATAGGTGCAAGAGAAAGATCCATGGACACTGGCTCTGCCTGTTTAGGGCATGGTGCAATGTCTGGGCTGATGGTGGTAAGACGTTATGTGAGCAACCAGGTGGGTAGGGTTGGCCAAGGACCATCTCCAGCCACTGGTTTGGTGGAAGTGTGAAGAGGACTCACCCCTTGTCACCTGGAAGTTATGGCTAGGATAGCAAAGCCTCTCTGGTCCCAATTCACTGGCACAGGCCTGGTGCACTTCTGGTAATGGATTATCAAGCTTCTGCCCAGGCTCAATCATGTAGGGGTCACCTGGAGTCCAGCATCTCCGACCCCACCCCAAAGGCCTTCCACTTCACATGAGCTCTCAACCCAAATTAGTATTCACTAGTTGTTACATGTTCCTTCACTGGCTCTCTCTTCACTCTTCATTCTCCTGTTCCACTGGAAATCCTGCCCATTTCCCGGTACTTTCCTCTGCTGGATCCAATACATATTCTGCTCACCTTGACTACCTCCAGATCTGTCCACAGAGTGTCTCTGTTCTAGTGTGAATTCCATGAAGTTGGTTTCTTCTCACCTATATATTATGCCTTCTGTGTTTCAAGATGGCCATGCTTTGTTAAGCCCCAGCTTCTTCTATTTCCCCAGACACTGCCCTCACTCTCTCCCTTTTCAATCTGTGCTCAGTCTAATTCTTTATCCTCTCATTTGATGTCCAGGATTCTGGGATCATTATCTGTGTCTTTTCAATTGGTTTTCCTGGGTCTCTGTTGTAGAAGGATTGGGCAGAGTGTATCACCAGGACTCCATCTTGTCCCCACCTCTATCATTAGAATGTTTGACAGCCATGTTTTATGTCAAAAGAATACATAAGAGATTCAGGAAAAGAAAATGTAAACCAAAGAATATTGTCTCTATGAGTTTTTCCTGAGGAATCTACTAGAGAACAAGTTTCTAACAATGAACTATCTACAGAAACATTGACAAAGACTGCCAAATCACTGCCATCAAGTCTATGCTGATTCATGTTGTTAAACTAAGACTAAAACAAAAAAAAAAATAAAAGAACCAAATCCATTGCTGTCATTGGTTCAGACTCATGACAGCCCCATATGTTACAGAGTAAACTGAACTCCACAGAGTTTTCTTTGCTATAATCTTTACAGAATAAGATCATGAGGTCTTTCTTTTGTGGTATCACTGGATGGGTTTAAAATGTCAAGCTTTAGGTTAGCAGTCCAGTGCAAAACTATTTGTAATACTCAGGGACCTTGAACTAAGGCTAAATTAGGATTCAAAGGGAACAAATATAGAGGAAATAATTACATAGCCAGGCAATGTAGATAGAGTATAACTATCAAAAAATGAAAAAAATGATGTGTTACTATGTTTTTAAATTGCTCCCAGACACTATATTGGTGGTGACAATATTAGTATTATCAATCTGTATAATGTGGGATAAAGTAAATTAGTAATTATGGTATATTCCATTTTTTATCATTACCTGTGCCCTTGAGAACCAGGATTATTGCCATGAAAGAAAGGAGATATGGATGTAGCAAAGAAGAGGTTAAAGGAAATCCTGTATTTGAATTGGAAATACCAATATGAACTCATAAGGCAGTCTTAACATTCCTAATACATAGACTGTGGTCTTGCAACACCATTTCTCACATAAGAAACCAGGGCTTCTTGGAGAAATACCTAGTTCCAGTTCTGAAGCAGAAACTATACATAAACACTATACACTGAGGGTGTGGAGGAGAGCTAAACTGAGGCTCTTCTTGCAGCTGAACAGCTCAGCCATCCTGGGCCACAAGATGGGGCTCCTGAAGCTGCTGCAGTGGGGTGTGGGGCTTCCCAAGGCTGAAGCATGGTACCAGGTGGCTGGCTGGGGCTCCTAGGACTGCCAAGATGTCACCTTGGGGCTGATGGAGGCCAAGGTCTGCTTAGCACATCAGCAAATAAGATTGCTGATGAAACCACATCAAGAATTATCCATTGGAGATGGAAAGGTTAAATATGCATAATGGAGGAGACAATGGCAGGAATGCTAATGGTCATCTCAGATAGACATATTAAATTAATGTTGATTGAAATGTTATGATTTGTAACTTTGTTTATATTTATATATTTGTTCTTATTTTATAGTTATATAAGAAGTTGAAAACTACTTTATCTATAATGAAGAAAATAATCTACAACATTGGAGGCCTTAAGATTTTCTTTTTAAAAGGGTCTATCAAAAAAAAAAAAAAAATTGATTCTGATTCACAGCAACCCTATAGGACAGAGTAGAACTACCCCATAAGTTTTCCAAGGCTGTACATCTTTTACAGAAGACTGCCTTCTTGTTCTCTCATGGAGTGGTTGGTGGTTTTGAATCACTGATCTTTTGGTTAGCAAACAAATGTCTTAAGCACTAAGCCTCCAGAGCTCCTTTAAATGGCTTATATATTGCTAAATTTTGAGGAAAGACTGCTATGGAAAAATATTTAGAGTTCAAGAAACCTTTTTTTCAAACTAAGAAATTACTCTGATCTCATGTTCCTTATCTACCAACAAAGCAGATAAATTGGGAATTTCTATACTTCTTTCAGCTTTCACTGGAAATTCAAGTTTTGTTACACTGTGTGTGCTTGAAATAAAATACAAAACAAAACACAAACAACAGCAGCATAGCAAACAAAAAGTGTTTAAATTGGTCCTCAGTTTTCTTTAAGTATTACTCTAAATGTTTTCATCTTTATTTGCAGATTTCCTTTCTGAGCTCTTTAATTATCTTTCTAAAGGTGTGTAGTGCACAGTCGTTATGAGGTGGATCTGATGGCAGTGCATTTGGTTTGATTGGTTTGAGCAGGTACAGAAACTGGCACATTCATTTATTTCTTCAACAGAATAATATATGTGCTATATGCTCTTTTGGGTACAACAACAACAACAACAAAACTCACTGCCATCAAGTTGGATTCGACTCATAACAACCCCTCCTTGGGTTTCTGATGTGGTATATCTATGGAAGTAGATTGCCCAGTCTTCCTTCTGAGGAATGGCTTGTGGGTTTGAACCACCAGTCTTCTACTTAGCAGTCAAATGCCTTAGGCACTTGAGTCCTTTTCTGAGTATTGGGTACACAAAAATGAAATACATATGCACATAATCCTCAAGGCATTCAGATTTATGAAGAGGACAGATACTTAACTGTTATTAACTTTTTAAAAAAAAAATGGTGAAATGAAAATTTCCATTATCTCTTGTTGAAAACATTTATAGTGGCCATGACTATATCTGGCCAAGGGGGTTAAAAACAAATGACTTTATTGCCTAACTCCAGCCTGAGGTGTCAAATATATTCTTAATCTTGTGTCAGGATATTGTACAATTTAGAGGACAGAATATAGATTTGGAGTCTATCTAACCAACCTAGGCTTCAATCTTCATTCTAGTACTTATTGCCTTCAGGATCTTGATCAGACCTTCATCTTTTTAAGGTTTCAGCACCCTCCTGTAATACTAATAGTACTTACTTTAAAAAGACTATGATGAGCACTACATGGTATAATATGTGTAAGGCTTCTAGCACCTTGTAGCTTTTGCACAAATGGCAACCAATTTTACCCATTCATTCAACAGTATTTGTTGAGTGTCTGCTATGTACCTGGACTCATTCAAGAACTGCCTAAGAGCTATCATTCATGTCTCTGATCAGCAGACAACTTTACGAGTTGCATAAATCCGGTCAAGTATAATGAGTAATAGAGAATTTTATGAGATCCTTAGTCACTGATAGCTCTTCACCCCCATGCATTACCCGGCTGTATTCCCCATAACTCTCAGGAACCAGTGCTTCCCCAGCATTGCTTGATAAAGTCACAGTCCCTCAAGAATGACCAGACAACAGGCTGCCAGCACAGTGATGGCTTTATGTGAAGAGCTTTCCCTGGATCTGTGCTTACACAGCCTACATGGTACTACACTGCAGCCTGTGTTCTGATCTCCTATCTCAACAACTCTTAGAACCCTCCATGGAGTTTTCACTTCCCCACCTCATATTCCCCACCCCACTCAGTATTCATGGATATGGCAATGGGTTACCAACTCTAGACCTCCTCTGCCCTTACCCCCAGGAATGCAGTGGAAGCCATCTCCCTGGTAACCAGATTTGCACTGGCATGTGAAGGAGCCTGGAGTGTTGTAGCAGAAGGCATCAGGGTGACATCTGCTTGGCTGGCACTCATCCACATCTACAAAAAAACAACCAGGGGAAGGGACAATGAGGGTTTTTTTTTTTTTTTTTTTTTCTGGAATTCATAGTTTACAAAATTATTTAAGTCACTCACCCAACTCTATGGAAACCTGTTTCCGATCTGGGAATGGTGATTGAGAAATCACTAAACATTAATTATCAAGACGTTAAATCCCCAATTCTATCAATTGTACTTACAAATGTATTTAATTTTGATGATAATGGCTTTTATGAAAAATAAAAAGGAAAAAGTGAGGATTCTTTTGAATTATAAAATGATCCTTCCCTTCATAAATGAGAGCTTCAAAAATGTTTCAATAATGTGGTGCATGTGCATGATGGAAAATCCTCAGGTGAGAGAAAATTTGCATGTTCAGTAACAAAGAGAAAGTATCTCAGAAATTATCATCTATTTTAGAAAAGTTCATATTTTCAGAAATACTCTTTTATATTATTGTTGTTGATATCTGCTGTGAATCTGGCCCTGGACTCATGGTGACCCCATGTGCAATGGAATGAAACGTTGCCTCTGCTATCCTCATGATTGATTAGGGAGCAGAGCATTGTGATTCATAGAATTTTTGTGGGCTGATTTTTGAAGTAGGTAGCTAGAACTTTTATCCTAGTTCATCTTAATCTGGAAGCTTCACTGAAACCTGTTTCACATCATGGTAACAAATAAGTATCCACTGACAGATAGGTGGTAGCTGAGCATGAGGTGCATTGGTTGGGAATTGTTCCCGAGTTTCTGGCATGGAAGATGAGAATTCTATTAGTAAATCAGGACCTCACTCAATTGCCTGATGTTAAATAATTTGGCAAATCAAGAGGCCTAGGGTACTCTGTAAACAGGTTATCTTACCTAAATTAAAATGTGCTTTACGAGCAGCCTGATAAACACCATCAAGCTACCTCAAGTCTAGAAGGTTCTGCAGTTTATTCAATAATGGGACTTTACCTGCTCTAACCTGCTCTTCTAAAAATTAGTGAGAGCACTCACCTTGACAGGCCCGGCCATCCCCAGAGAAGCCTGGTAAACAGGAGCAGCTGTAGGAGGAACCTCCAGTGTAGATGCACTGGGCCCGCTGAGGTATGTCACAGTCGTGTAGGCCACTTGAACAGTAGTTGATGGGGCGCTGGTCTGCAATAGCTTCAGAACAAAAGGTGCACACACAATGTAATGTGTGGGAATGTCCTGTGAGCAAAGCCTTGTAAGCTCCCACCACATCAATGGTTTGGCTCTCTAAAGAGGGACAGACTTGCAGGCTTCATCCCAGCTCATCATTGGTCTGGCCCCACTGGCTTTTTTCCCATGTTGTTCCACTTGGATTCTACCTCTGACTATTCTTTGCAAACTGACACCACAGTTGGCCTTTTAACCTAGGTTCCAAGTCTCTGTCTCAAGCCACACTCCAGATCTGGCTCCACAACATATTTCAAGGATTCAACTTCTCCTCACTCTGGATATGGATTTGGAACATCTGCATATATATATATATATATATATATATATATATATATATATATATATACTTTAGAAAGTATATTAGTACAGAGTTTGAAGTAACTAAGCCTTTAGTATGGGGTATCCAGTCTTTTCCACTCTGTACAAGCATAACATTCATTATGAATGCTTAAATTAAAATCATTCACTTTCCATCAAGGAAGAGATAAAGATACTTTTCCATGGCAGTGAGAGTGTATGGTAGTAAGTGTATGGTGGGCCTTTGAGGACAAGTTCTGGGTTTACACTAGGTAGACTGAAACAAAGAGCTCTGGTAGTGTAGTGCCTAAGGCACTTGACTGCTAACCAGAAGGCCGGCGGTTCAAACCCACCAACCACTCCTCTGAAGGAAGGTTGGGCAATCTACTTCTGTAGATAGTGCCTCAGAAATCCAAGGAGGGGTTGCTATGAGTCGGGTCTGACTCAATGGCACGTAACAACAATAGACTGAACCAACTACACAGCCTTGAGTAAACCATAAAACTTTTCAGAGCTTCACATTCCTACTTTTTCAAACAGGAATAACTTCCAGCATGCTAAGCAGAGGCACAACTTCTGACTCCATCCATTCAATTGCAGGGATGGATGGAAGTGGAAAGGCTTGGACAGGAGAGAAAATTGAGCTCACATTGGGAAATAAAAAGATTGTAAGTTGGGGTTTAACTTTTCTACTTCTTTCATTTCTGAAGAGAATCAGAAAAAAGAATATGCTCTGCCCCAAGGCAATTAGTCCCAGGGTAATCACAGTGGCTGGAGAGATCCATGTGGAGATAAATCTGGGAAGAAGGTTGGAGATGCAAGAGAAAGAAGGACAAACCAATGGAAAGACATTACCAATAAGGAGGAAGAAAGTAGGAAGAAAGAGCAGGGTATCAACTAATTGCTGCTGAGTCAACTGCAACTCATAACAACCTGCTGTGTGTCAGACTAGAACTATGATCCACAGTGTTTTCAATGGCTGATTTTTCAGAAGCAGATCACCCAGTCTTTTTTGCAAGTTGCCAGTGGGTGTACTTGAATTTCCAACCTTTTGGCTAGTCGCTGACTGTGTTAACTATCTGCACCATTAAGGGACTCCAAGGGTAGGGTACAGACCTCTAACTAAGGCCTAACAATATGATGATGAGGGAAGGAAACATGAACACTGTGTGAGACAAGGTTATGGGAGCTTTGTTCACATCAGCATTTTGCCTAAGGCTGGCTGTCCTCCAGCCCTGAAAGTAGCACTGATGTATGGTGGTGTGAGGGGTCAGGGGGTGCTATGCTTGCCCAACTCTCCATATGCCAAACCATGTTCCACAGGGTTGTTATCCATTCAGAGTGCCTACCTATATCTTCACATAAAGGTAAGCTGAAACTCATCTTTCCTTCATGCAAACATATTTTAAATGTTCAAATTAACTGGAAAAGTTTGGTTCCAGTGGAAAAGAGAAAGTCACAGGTTTATAGAAAATATAAAATGTGGAAGTCTCTTCTGGTAATGTAATAATAATCGTTGTGGACAGATAATTACACCTGGCAAGCCCACATGCCCAGCATGGACCCGTAGCCCATGAGAGCTCAAGCAGAGTCCCTCAAAGTTGTCAGGGGAAAAAGCCAATATCCTAAAGTGCTGAGATCCTTTCCTTGGCCTTCTCTGCTCCAAACAAGAGGGAAACCTTCTTAGCCCAAGCTTCCATCCCAGGACACTGTCTTAATAAGGAATTCTGGAAGAGGTGAGACTGATTTGTGGCAAAGCCAGAGTTAATTTGTTTGAATGCATTTAAGAAGACTTGGTTTCACAGTCAGCCATCTCCCTGCATAGTAAATCTGAAAAGAGTCTACTCAAGGGAGGAAGAGCTGACTGAGATGGAATGGCATGGGGTCAATAGGCAGCCAAAGGGTCAGGAAACATCATGGTGTTAGAGCTAAGAGGAGCTTAATTATCCAGTGGTTTCCACACTTGTTTTTGGGCTGTGGAACCCATCTTTTTTTCAAAATATTACTCAGAATTTGACATATAGGAAAAGGAAAGGCAAATTGGAGATGGGGGCTAAAGAACAAGAGCCCACTGGCTGCTCCATGTCCTCCTCTGTAGCCCTTAGAGGCACATCCAGGGGCTCCATGGGACATAAATGGAAAACCAATGACAAATCACCCCATTTTCCAGATAAAGAACTGAGGCCTAGAGAAGTTAAGCATCTTCCCCAAAATCAAATGTCTGGGAGTAGACTTTCTCACACCACCTGCTTTGCACACCACTCTGACACTCCAGTAAGTTTTGAAATTTAGAAGAGAGTTGGATCCAGAAACCCAGGATGGCTCACTCTGAGGGCAGCCCACCTCACACACCTGACCCAGGATAAGTCTTGGTGACTGTACCTCACCACTAACATGCACAACAAGGTTAAATAAAAATGTAATGCAAGCAGAGGACTGCTATGGAAAGTCTGCTTTTGAATCTCCTCCCCTCAAAATGTTGAGAAGGAAGTCAGGCTGAACACACAGAATTAGATGTTCTCTATTGAAATCTGAAATCTCAACTCTGTGAAATGATGACTGGCCTCTCTCAACTCACAGATGTTTGTGTCACACTTAAAATATGAGAACTGCCTGTTCCCTACTGCTCTCCAGAAACCACCTCATCCTGGGACCTCAGTCGCCTCACTTGAGCTTCAAGACAGAGCAAATAGAAAGCATGCTAGAGTTGAGTAAACAGTGAGGAAGAGACAGAGATAGCTCATGAATATTGTAAAAGAGAAATCTGTTTTAAATTGGGGAGAAATGCTGAGTTCAGATGTCCCATTCCACAAAGTGCCCTCCAGACCTACAATCTCCAAGGATCTCTGAGCTTAAAATTCTTGGTGCCAACTGGTCAATGTGTGGCAGTAGAAAAAAGAAGAAAAACTTACTCTGGTTCTTTGTGGTTGACCTACCACCACCTCCACCACCATCACCACCATCATCATCATCATCTTCATCACCATCATCAACCAAAAGCATAATTAACCTAATTAACAAATCAACTTATTTCAATAAAATTAAGAAGTATGCTACTACTTCTCATGCTCTGTAAAAATAAAATCCATAAATGCAATGCCTTCAAATGGAGGTTTAGATTCAAATGAGGTAGAATTAAATTGAAGGCAGGTAACAACATACACTTATTGTCTATCACAATAAATACTGGGTGTCATTCCAGAGACAGGGCATGGAGAATGTTTTGCTTTAAGTTATCTCCATTAACAACATTCCAACTATGAGTAGTTGATTGTATAGAAGACTGTGCTAGAAAGAATTCTTGCTGCAATAGTGAAGGTAAAAAAAAAAAAAAAAATCAAGCATATAAAACAATGTGAACAGTAAAAAGGAAAAAAGTTTCCTCCTGTTCTTGCAATATAAATCCTAAGGTAACTAATTAAAAGGAGAAACAAGCCTTCTTGTTTTAATAACTATTAAAGGTATAACGAAAAGAATTAAAAAGAGCTTTATAAGAAGAATATGTAATGCAAATGCTTGCAAGTAAGTTAAAATGGACCAGGTGAGGTGACATATTCTTAGTGTAGCCAGTAGCATTCCTTGTTTCTTTACTTTTGACTCTACATACTTGGAGGACAGCAATTAAGTCTGATTCTTCTCTGTAAACACTTTTCCCCAATTACAGAACTGTCACCTTTATCACAGCTTGACTAATTACCTGGGACAGTACCATTTACACAGGAAGAAATATTTACTATGTGAATAAATGTTTTCAGAAGTTATCTAGACAACTTACCTACACATGCTCCCTTGTCAGAAAATCGAAAGCCCTCCACACACTCACAGCGGAAGGTTCCAGGGTGATTATTGCAGATTGCATGGCTCCCACATACCAAAGGCTGCTCTGAACATTCATCAACATCTGCAGCAAATTAAAAAATTATTGCACACTTTTTTACACCTCTTCAATTCTTTAATAAAATAGAAGGCATATTATCTCTGAGAACAGATCAATTTTAAAAGAGAATTTCACATATTCCAAAGTAGTGTTAAATAAGATTTTTTATTCTGTGCATAACTTTCTTTAAAGAGTGATACCAAGGCCTTTTCCTAAGTAAATACATGCTCTTGCACCCCTTTAATGTCCCCCAAGTTAGGTGCTCAGTCTGGGACCTACAATGAGAGTCATGAATGTTTGGTTGGCAAGTATATGTTAGAAGGATGGAGAGATAAGTGTCTAGACTTTGAATAAGATTTTTAGACTAGAAACCATATTTAAAATATGGCTATTGTTATTTAGGAAGCCCTGGTGGTGTAGTGCCTAAGGCACTTGACTGCTAACCAGAAGTCTGGTGGTTCAAACCCACTAACCACTCCTTGGAAGGAAGATTGGGCAATTTACTTCTGTAGAGATAACCACCTTGGAAATTCCAGGAGGGGTCGCTATGAGTTGGAAATGACTTGATGGCGGTGAGTGTGATTGCTATTTAAGGAGCTCCCTGGTGGCACAGTGGTTAAAGAACTAGGCTGCTAACCAAAAGGTCAGTGGTTCAAACTCACCAGCTGCTATGCAGAAGGATGTGACATTTTGCTTCCATGAAGATTATGATTGGGAACCTTGTGGGGGCAGGTCTACTCTGTACTACAGGGTCACTATGAGTCAGAATTGCCATGGCAACAACAACAGTTAGAAAAGGAGTCTCTTGGTGGCAAAAATAGTTAAGTGCTCAGCTACTAACCCAAATGTTGGCAGTTTGAACCCACCTAGAGGCATCTCAAAGAAAAGGCATGGCAATCTACTTCTGAAAGGCTATAGATCTGAAAACTGTATGGAGTAGTTCTACTTTGCATACACAGATGGAGTAACCATGAATCAGAATCCACTTATCAGTAACTGGTTGGGTTTGATTTTGGTTTATTGTTAGAAAAATATTACCTTCCTCAAATTACAGTCACAAAGATCAATTGAACATTTTTAAACCAAATTGTGAATTTCTTAATGCCATCTAGAGCTTACTAAACTAAAAGGAAAGCCATTAATCAAAATAATGTAAACAATCTAGTAGGGTGATATCATTTTCTAAGACAATACTATAGCTGTCAACCATGGGACAAAGCAAAAAATATACATTTGAAGTTGTACATATCTAGGTTTAAATCCTGACTCCTTCACTTACTAGCTGTGTGATCTTTTTATCCCCCCTGTGGTAATTGTCTTTACATGATCATTATTATATAAAGCAAATGGCCAGCACTGCCAATTCCCACTTGGCTCTCTGTCCTTGTGGCCATTTTTGCTAGTGATGTACACTTACACCATCTTATTGGTAGTCTCAGTAACTATGTGGGAGTCTGTGAATGGTGAAAATTAGTAATATACTCAACTGCCAATTGAAAAGTTGGAGATTTGAGCCAACCCAGAGGTGCCTCAGATTGGGCAGTGTTCTGATGTACATAGGGTCACTATGAATAGGACCCAACTTGACAGCACCTAACAACAACAATGACAGAGGTTCTGCAGGAAAAAGGCTTAGTTATCTACTTCCAAAAAATAAGGACGTGAAAATTTTATGGAGCACAGTTCTACTCTGACACACATGGGGCTGCCATGAGTTGTAATCAACTTGACAGTAACAGGTTTGGTAGCTATGAGATCTTGGGCAAGTTATCTTACTAATCAATCTCAGTTTTCTCATTGGTAAATAAGCATAACAATACTTAAGTATTATAAGATCACAGATAATGGATGTAGGCCAGAAGAGTTCCAGCAAGATGGCAGAATAGCTATACAGACCATCTGCAACAAAGTAATGAGAAACCAATTGAAACTGATATAGAGATGATCCTGTAACCCTGAGCTTTGAAGGGAAGGATTAAGAAGTGGATTAAATACAAAATAGTAGAAGAATCTGAATAAATACAGTGAGTAAGGAGACAAATGGAGCTGCAGATTGCCAGCTATTCTGAGGGTGCAGGTATTTTGAATATTTGCAAGTGTGACCTGGTAACAGTCTTGGTGGCTCTGCTCACCAAGGACTACATGGGCAAGGACTGTACTAGTGCCTGATAACTAGAAAGGAAAAGAGCAAAGAAGGAGATAACTAGAGCTGGGGACTGCCAGCTATCCTGAGGGTGTAGCCATTTTGAATAATTGCAAGTGGTGACCCATTAGTAACCTAAGAATCAGCCCTGCTCATCAAGGACTGCACAGGCAAGGACTGCATTGGTACCTGACAATAAGAAAGAAGGAGACAAACAGACCTGTGGACTGCTGGCTGTCCTGAGGGCACAGCCAGTATGAATATTTGTGAATACTGAAGCAATTTTGAATATAAGCAACTAGCAGTTCTGAACCAGACAGTGACCTAAAAGTAAACTCCCCTTGCTGAGGAAAGCACTGGAACCCACACTGGAGACTAATGCCTAGAAAGGTGCAATATTCCCTTCATTTCTATTATTCCCCACACCCTCTTGGTGAACAAAAGTGTGACCAACCCTCACCTCCACACACCTTCTTGATGAGCAGGAACTTCATCCCAATTTGTGCCCTGAAAGAGCCTGGGTGCCATGCTCCACCAACCACCAACCCAGAGGTTTTCTTTTTAAATTATTTATTTTAAAGAATAATTCTAAATAATTTTTAAATTAATTTTTAAATTATCTTCCTCCTTTCTTCCCTTTTCTCCTCCTCCTCCTCCTCCTTCTCTCTTACCTTTTCCTAGTTCCCTTTTCTTATCCTTTCTTTTGGTTCTTCCCACTCCTTGTTTTCCATTTTGTAGTTTTCTCCTGCTCTTTTCTCTCATTCTCCCCTCCTGAGATATTGGATTTTGTTTTTTCCCTCTTTTTTTTTTTTTATCATTATCTTTCTTTTGGTTTTTAAAAATGTATTTTAAAAATTTTTCTTCACATTTTAGCTGCCTTTTTTCTGTGATTTTTCCTGCTTGTTTATGCAGTTTTGAGTTTTCTTTTGTTTTTATTTGTTTGGTGTTTTTTATTTTTATTTTTATTTTTGTCTAGTTGACTGAGAGACAGCAACCATTCTCACACAATCCAACCATACCTACACCTCCTGTAGCCTCACCCACTGAGTGAGGGCCACCACTTGCTTTTGTACCCACTAACAAGAGATGGTAGTCAATATCAGTTCAACTCACACTCAACTGCTCTATATGAACACCTAACACAGATCTGTGCACACAATCTCATTCTCTATAACACCCACCAGGAGACAGGTGGTAAGTGCCTAAGTGGTAATAACTAGTGAATAGAACACAGTACCCTGCCCAGACAGCTATAACAAAGCAAAATAAATAAATAAATAAAAATCTTGGGTGAATCACACCAACATCAGACCACAATTAAACACAAATACAACAACAACACAATGTCCTGGAGACAATTAACAATACCACTGCAAATAAAGAAGCAATAAAAAGTTGGTCAAAAAGAGACCATGATAAAAACCCAGAAAACACCCCTTGGGAAGAAGCAGCATTGGAAGATCCTGAAAAGGAATTTGAAGGAATTATACTTGGGTACCTTCAAGGGATTGAGAGACAGATCAAGGAAAACACTGAGAAAATTAAGGAAAACACAGACAAAACTCTAGGACAACTTAGAAAAGCAACACAAGAACAAATTGACAAAATAAACTAAATATTAGAAATCGTACAAAAATAACACATAGAAATCCAGAAGATTAATACTAAAATTTCAGAAATAGGTAACACATCAAATGGGCAATGAAGTAGAATTGAAAAACGGAAGACAGAATGAGTGAGACTGAAGACAAATACCTCAATACTACATTGTTAAGGTATCAACAACAACAACAAAAAAGATCAAAACAAGATGAAGAAAGCCTAAGATTCATATGGGAAACCATCAAGAAGAATACCTACATGTAAGTGGAATGCCAGAACAGGAATAATAAATAAAATCACAGGGAAAATGTTCAAAGATTTGTTGGAAGAAAATTTCCCTAATATGATGAAAGATGAGAATATATCCATTTAAAAAGTCCAAAAAACCCCAAAAGAAAATGATCAAAACATGTCATCATCAAACTCACCAAAACCAAGAAAAAAGAAAGAATCCTGAAAACAGTATGTGAAAAACAAAGTTACATACAAAAGGTAACCAATAAGACTAAACTCTGATTTATTGGCAGAGACAACACAGATGAGAGAACAATGGGATAATATATATAAAACCCCAAAAGAAAAAAAATTTACCACTCAAGAATTATATACCCAGCAAAACTGTCCCTCAAATATGTTGGTGAAATTAGGACATTTCCAGATAGGCATAAATTAAAGGAATTTGTAAAACCAGACCAACTTACAAGAGATGTTAAAGAGAGACTTTTGCACAGAAAACCAACAACAGCAAACAACAAACAATGATTAACACACATTATGATATAACCCAGAAACCAACCAGCTTATCAAAGTATCCAAAACCAAATAAGCTTCCATGACTATACTATAAACAGGGAACCAGAGACATCAATTGGTAAATGAGAACAACTACAAACCAAAAAGAGAATAAAAAGTGTACTTACAGAATTTCTAAATGGTAAGGAAGTCAAGACAATTGCAAGATAGGACAAAATGTTTTAAACTTGGGAAGAAAATTATAAAGCACAGGGTAACCTCAAAGAAAAATAATAAACTTTCATGTCAAAATAAAAAAGAGAACAAGCACAAATATTTAGCAAATACTAAAACAATAGCAATGAAGGAGATCATGATTCATAAACACAATGAGCTCAACACAGAAAATTATATGGAACAAAGAAATCAGCAGCAACATGAAAAAACACATAACAAAATGATGTCAATAAATTCACACTTGTTGATAATTACACTGAATGTCAATGGATTAAATGAACCACACAAGAGATGGAGAGTTGCAGACTGC